CTGCATGAAATCAAAGGTTTTCAAGCTGCCATCACAGACCGACAGAGGATCATATTTTACATGAAAAAAAAATAATCAGATCAGCACAGTTTGTTGTCCTAGGACACATGTAGATTTTTGTAGTTACCCTGGGTTTTGCAAGGCAACCTCCACCACTGGTCTTTCCAGGGGTTAAATCTATCTTGAAACTGTACTGTTTAAAGCTGCAATATAGTAGAAATTGTTAAACACTGTGTTTCTCCTGAAATGTAGTTAAGTTTCTGGAATTAGTTGAATCTCTCTGTGCCCAAACATCAGTGGAACCATCTTCAGAGCGAACAAAACTGATTAAAATGAATCTACTTTTTTGTTTAGCCTACATTTTAACACATCATTGTTAGGTTTTAGTCAGCAAAAATTACATACACATTAGGACATGTTTATGTTTAGAAAAAAAATACTTTTCTCTGAAAATACTCACTAGGCTTGAAAGATCCAGGGCATAAGCTGTTCACTCACTACCAAAGATGATGAAGAAAAAAGCAAGTCTTACTCAGAATGGACTTTCCTGCAGCTGCTCTACAAGAATCTGATACCCAGCACCAGAATGCTGAGTGACAATGAGAGTGGATGAACAGGGAATATCCGCTGTCCTTCTTCACTCTATCTGAAAAAAGACGTATTGCATCAACAAAAGCAGAAGAAAACAATGGGCCACGTTGAACAGGTTGCCCAGGGAAGCTGTGGCTGCCCCATCCCTGGCAGTGCTGAAGGGCAGGTTGGATGGGGCTTGGAGCAGCCTGGGCTGCTGGGAGGTGTCCCTGCCCATGCAGGGGTGGGACTGGATGAGCTTTAAGGTCCCTCCAACCCAAACTATTCCATGATTCTGTGACTATTTAGTGCCTGGAGACAAAAAAATGGATTTCCTGAGCAGAGCACCCAGAGACGAAGTTTGTTTGGCCCCAAATTGTCAGTACAGGAATTAGGCTGAACAGGAAAAATACGAAAATATTCAAAGCTATGGTTATCAAACTCAAACCACAGTAACTTTGACATGTGTCAGAAAAGTTCCTTTGATACTCAGTATGAATTCTTCCTTTTTTATTCCAATATTTTCCAGGTCTACACCTCTATTATTTTAAAAGTCAAAAAATATAGGAAAAAGTAAGTCTTACATTCTTTTTATTTTCAACTGTGTTTGTCAGAGATAGCTTTAGAACAAGCTAACATTACTGTGGTTCAGGTGTATGCAACTGGTACAGTTCAGTAGTACATGGACAACTCTAAAACAAATGCACCGTAGAACTTAAATTACCAAAAATAAACAATATTAAACTATGTAGGGCAGTAGGTAAAAACAATTACCTGTAGCTCTTGCACGCTAAAAGAAAAAAATAACTAGTTATTATTGAAATTATGAAGTTCTATTACAGATTGATATAATACCAAAAAAAAAAATTGAGAAGTTGTTGTCACATTTTGGTTTTGTTCCAGTGATATACAGTCAAACGAAATCTAACATCAGTTTTTCATGAAATTAACATCTGGTTACTTTAACTACAACATTTCATGAGTTTATAACAGTTTTGGTGTTTTGTTTTTAATTTTTGAAAAAGTTGCATGTAAAAACATGTACAATAAAATAATGTTGTAAAGCTGTTTACAGATTCCTTACTGATGATAGGAGTAAAAGCAGTCAGGAAGCTGCAGTGTTTCTAACATTGGTAAACAAATACTGGATTAAAGTGCAACAGTCCTTCCCGCGGCGCCCGCTCCGTGACTCCTTCTCCTCCGCAGGGAAGCCCCGGGAAGCGGCGGCGGCGTCAGGCGCGTTTCTCTCGGAAGTCACTGATGGCCTTCCAGAGCGTGCACAGCATCCCTCCCCTGCAAAGAGAGGTCAGAAAGATGCTCAGGTTCACAGATACCCTCTAGCCTGAAAGCATTCCAGCTCAGGTGCCTTCTGATTTTCTAGCTCAGGTTTTGGCTAATGAAATCCAGCAGGCAGGCTGATCAAAGGTGAAATCCAACACGCAACAGCCCAAGCAAATAAAGAGCAGAGTCCTTTTCTGATTACATTGCAGGGCAATCTGTCCACTTTTCAGATGCCTGGTCTGGAATTCAGACTTCTGGTTCAAAGGCCTGCATAACCCATGGCAGACTTCCAACATTATGAAAGTCTTGATTATAAAAGAATCTGGATACCTCACTTTTCTAAAAACTATTATTTTTATTTAGTTATTTATTTTTTAACTGGCTGGGCACACGCAGTGTTTGGAAACTTCTATTGCTTCTACTCAAGGTTGGCTCTGCAGTGACCCACACACCTGGCATGATTAGGTTACATCTAGAGTAAGTGGCAGTCCACAAGCAGCAGTTCTGACGGCTGATGATGAAGATAAACTACAGAAAGCTTTGCTATCTCTACCTTCTTCAGTAAAGGCAAAGCTCTAATGGGATATCCAGTTTCTCCAAGTGTAAGGGAAAAAGCTTTACTTCAAAATGTTTCCCTTTGCATTCCTTTAATAGGAAAGCTGATTTTAAAATTCAAACAGTATCAGGTGTTCATCAGGAATGCATCAGTATACAAAGACGTACTGGGAAGTGTTAGTTATTTAAATTAAAACTGCACAATCCAAGAAATAGAGACTTTAATATCAGATACTTTCCCTTAATAAAACACAGCTTCTGCCCAACACAGTTCAGTTAACTGTGAAGCATTACCTCAGTCTCAAACACTTCAGATCATCGCGTGTAACATAGCAGAGAACATCCATTAATGTATAGTCTTCAGCCAAGAACTACAAAAAGACATTTAAATTAACATTTTGTTAGAACTATAATCTAACTTTCTAAGCTTTATATACCATCTGCCCTTAAAAATAGAGGTTTAGAAGAAACTTAAAATTGCGCCAAGATGCGGTAAATGTAACAGATTAATCTATATTGCTTCTAGAAATACCGTGGAACACCTTAGTTTTTATACTGTGTGCTCTACACCCTGGCATACCAGGCACATCTTGAAATATGTCAGAGCTTTTACACCTACTCAAAACTTTTTTCAAGTGCCATTTCTATTCTTATCACTGATATCTCAGAGTCAGACTTTGATGAACATGAATTAGAACATAATTCATCCCACATTTCACCCATGAGTAAGTTAAAAACAACAGTTAAGACCTATCTGTTCAAAAGTGGCACCTAAATTTGATGTACTTGAATTTCAAGGAGCCTCTGATCTGATCTGTAGGAGTGATAACTACATGCAGGTTTTCCTAAGTCAGTTGAAATCCTGAGATGCTCAACACCTCTAAAATTACATAATTTGCTGCAGAGGAGACCCAGTTCCTTCAGGAGATTCCTGTTCAGCACAGTTAGCTGAGGGTGAACAGGTACCCTGTGTCCAG